TTTTTCTTGACGGGTGACGTGATGAGGTCCTTTGTTAGTTTCGTCCTTCGTTCTCTGTTCTAAGTGTTGGACTTGAAATGTGGTTGTCTGTCACCAGGTTCTTTGAACTTAAGGCTTTCAACATGATTTTGAAAGTTGCTTGCGCTAGATAGTGAGTGGTGTGAAACTCCATCTGCTCCTCTTCTTAAGCTTGTGTCTAGTAGGCTGCGTCTCCACTTTCTTCACACTGAAGTGAAGCCGATATGATTTTTAGTGTGCCCTGCAGGACATTAGGTATGGGGCAAGACCTTAGGATATTCCAAGATTACTCGCTGCAGCTTGAGCCCTGGAAGGCTAGAAATGGCCGTAGGTTCGGCCCGAAGAAGCCGAAGGTGATTTGTCTCGGAACATTGAGAGCTATCTAGGCCCTCAGCAATTATGCCACTGGCCAGGTGTTCGTGCAGTAGGACCTGGGGGTGAACTTCCTCAATATAATGGGTGTCAGTCACAAATAAAAAAGGATGACGGCAAAAGTGAACACCTTCATGCATTTTACGACAAGGTAACTTGAAACCATTACCTACAGATTATTCTCCGAGGCTTTAGAAGCCATCATTATGCTCCGAGCTGCTATCAGTCGACGGTGAGCCGTGGTTTTAAAGCCATAACTGACCTTGACCCCTAAGTCAATGTGGGTCAGTACTGACAGTAAAGGAGTCCCATCAGTATCGTATGTGTTGCTGTGTGTGTGCCCCAAGTGCGTGCTCACAGATTTACTTGCATTGACGGGCATCAGCCACTTCTCTGACCAGGTAAACAAGCCGTTCAGGCCTGCCTGGAGCGCACGCATACCCTTACCGTTCCTAATTTCTCGCCAGATTTTCGCATCATCAGCATAGAGAACCATAGGGGACTTCGTAATGTTTGGCAGCTAGTTTACGTATAGGAGAAACAGTAGGGGGCCCGGGATTATGCCTTATCGCACTCCATTCTTCACCAATTTCCAAGTGGGGAGTTGAGAATTGATCCTAACTCTGTGTCTGCCACAAACAAGAAAGTCTGTTATCCATGCGAGCAGACCGCCAGTGATTCCAAAACTTCCCAGCTTTAAGAGCAACCTGCAATTAAGCGCTTCGTTGATCGCCTTACTAGAGTAGATGAAAATGACATCTACTGGTATCCTATCATCTTCAGACTTAACCCAGCTTTCTCTGGCTGTAAAGAGGTTAGCCAAGTAAGAGAAATTTCCACGAAAACCATGCTGTGAACGAGACAATGCATTGTTGCTCCCTAGGTGGACTGTGATGGCTTTCTTGATCACTCTTTCTAAGATTTTCACTACAGTACCGGTCAAACTTATCAGTCTGTAATTTGTTGGAAGCTGCTTAGAACCTGCCTTGTGGATAAGCGTTACTATGGCATCCTTCCAGTCATGGTGGAGTGTGCCTTCACTGAGAGACAGTCTGAGGACGGTAGTAATTGGGCCGGCTACATAGAGCGGAAGCTCTCTGAGCAGCCTTGGGTACAGCTCGTCCGATCCTGATGATTTTTCCACATCGGGAGTACTTAATGTCCGAAATACATCATTATGATCGACATTCACAGAGTTTATTACGTTCGATACCAATACTTCTACAGTTGGATAAGTGTCCACAGAGGATTCCCGTGTGAAGACCCCAGCAAGATATCCAGCCATGGCTCCTGCTTCTTCCCTATCGTCCTCAATCAGACAGTCACTTTCGGACACATTGATTGGGGCGGGTACACCACGACACGTCTTATTCCTATGGCTCATATGGGAAATAACCTCTTTGGATGCTGCAATACAGCCTGGGCAAGACGTATTTCGAAGCATATTCGGGACCGGCGGATAGCGGCGATACGTTTATTGCGAGCTCCTTTGCAGCGCTTCACCACCCTCGGGTGGGTGGCAAAACTCCAACACTTTTTCCTACGTCCTAGCAAGATTCAGATTTCGTGGTTTATCCACGGAGGACGGTGTTTCTGTCCCCTTGAGACAGTCCATGGAGCGAACGGTTGGGTCACTCGTGCATATGGCTGTTTGAAGGATCACCATGCATCTCCAACTGAGGCATCTGGAAGGAATTTCCAGTCCTCCGAAGAAGCCGCCAGGTTTATAGCTTCCATATCCGCTTTCCACATGTTGGGTCCAGCTGGGCATTGGCCCGGTACAAGACGTCTGCTGTGAATCTGAAGATGATCACAAAGTGATCACTTTTGCCAGAGGGTGATAGGTGCCGGATGAAGCACACATCATCTGTATGTGAGAATACCAAGCCCAGAACTGATGGAGCATGCTGACGATCATATCTGGTTGGTGTTCTAATGTGCTGCATAGGGGCTAAGGAAAATTATGTTTCCGCCAACCGGTGATCAAACGAATTACGTGGTGCTTTTGTTGTTAGTCCATACCAGTCAACCGATGGTGCGTTGAAGTCCCCTACAACCAGACTTTGGCATTTATCTGTCCAGAGAGTCATCTGACTCAGAAGGAAGTCTGCTGCCTCACAATCAGGCCCTCGATATATTACAATTACGTCAACATCTTGCCCTTGCATTTTAGCCGACAGCACAGCATTTCACACGTCCCACTTTCATGTGCAACTGTTTCCACGGCTTTTACAGTTAAGTTATTCTTAATGTAAAGAATGACACCGCCACCCTTGAGTGCTGACCTGTCACTTCCAAAAGGGATGAATCATCGTGTGCTTCACAGTCGCCTATCCAGGAAAAGAACCAAGTTTCTGAGACTGCAACGATGTCGGGGGTTTCGTCGCTTGTCATATCATTAAGCTCAGTCCACTTGTGCAAAAGATTACGTGCATTTGTGTGCCAGACAACGAAACTACTTAAATGGGTTTCCGTCCTATCCACAGAGGCTTCGGCATTGTTAGTTGCCGAAACCTCACTACATGACAACCCACCACATTCAGATCTTAGACTCCAGCTGCTAATGTCGGTTTCAGTTCTGCTTCTGCTTCTCATTTTTAGATTCGATCATCGAGGGCCAAATCATTTCGCACGAACACTCCAGATCCTTGAAGTCTGTGAGCGTTCCTCAGAATCTGATTCCTCTCATCTGCTGACTTGAACACGACCTTAAGTAGCCGAAAATTATTTTCAGTAGTGACTGTTCCCCGTTTTCCTGCTCTATATATCTTGAGTGAGGCGACCCCTGGCATATTTTCTGGTAAAAGCTGGTTAATCAAACTTTGCACCTTGTCAAGGCCATGTTCGAAACGTTCACGTGCTTCGAAGTCTCTACTTTCTTCCACTCCGTGGAAAATTACGGACCCGTCAAGGATCTCTACTTTGCCTTTGTTATGTGGAGTGATGATAGCTGGCTCGGTAACCGCAGTTGGCCTCTTGGAATGCCACTTAGGCTTAGTTACTTACCATTTTTCAAAGTCGGATATCCAAGGTTTACCGGAGCCTAGTCCAATGGCCCTGACACTGAAAACCTCAGAACGGACTTGCATCCAATTCTGTGTAATTTTCGTCAATGATTGGGTGACTGAACTAGGTATGACCTGTAGCCTGCACGTTCTGTTGTTGGAACTGAGATCGCTTCACTCCTGTTTCTTTCACCTGAAGTAGACTTAGTCCTATGGTCAGCAGTTTACATACTGGGATGCGAGATCCAGAAGATACTCGCCTCACCCTGCCTGGTGTAGTTTTTTCCAAGCCGCTGTTTGCAAACGTAGTAGATGGTCTATGCCTCCGACCTACAGATTGTCGTAGGACGTTCTTAAAATTTCGCACGGCGATCTCTGTCAATAGATACTGGGTCGATATCACTGTCACAGTTATCGGCCTTGATTTTCAATGAAAGTTTCGTACTTTTCCTATTTTCGAGTGCTCTTCCTTCTTCTTCCAAAGCGCGAACATCCAAGCAGCACAAAATACAAAGTCAGAGAATTCATGCGTTGCTGCACCTCTTGTGAGCCGAGGGTGTGAGACTAGTAGAGTCATTGTGGAACCAACTCTTATTGAGGGATTGTCCTGGTGCGAACTTGACAGACGCAAAGACCAACCACTAATTATTCGAACTTGTTATATACCCATGAATACAAGACCAAGATAGAACACAATAGCGTAGTCGGATGAAATAGTATGTTTGCAAGGTCGGGCCAAGATACCAGTGCGTTCCAACTAACTGGCTAGGGAGTCAATTACGAGCAATACAACGTAACACGACAGCGTGCCAAATGGTGGGGATACTTGACTGGGTGCCTTCAGCTTGGCGAGTCCAGTTAAACTATCAAGGTCAGCGCCAATGTTGAATCTCGCCAAACCCCAGGCTATTGATCTTGAGGAAGTATGTGACGCCACTCTTGCATTCGCTACACTACATACCAGAGTCGCTGGAAGGTGGCACCAGGCCCTGCCGCAAGTACTTGTACGTCACTTTTGTCTCTCCATGAAGCAGAGACTATCGAAATCACCCAGTAATTTTCCTGTTTCACATGATTGGAATAATATTCCGATCAGAGCAAAAATACAACAGCTTTTGATGCGTAAACACAAAAAATGACAGGAACCTGGCTGAACGTGAAAAGTCAGTCCCCTTTTCAAACAGCGCGCATCTATATGCCTATCTTTTTCTTCACCCACCGTTAACCACCCGCTTAACGTATTGCACTGTTTCCGGACCACCCTCCCCACACTCACCTAAAAACGCCCTTAGGGACGGAAATCTCGAGAAGACGGTTGATTTTATCAGCAGCCTTCACAGGCAAATCAACGTAAAATAATTAAATTAAAGCATTTCATAAAACAAATACTTCGTCCAAAGCTATTCGCAGATGAGGTGAAACTACATATGCATTCATCGGAGCAGCATAGCTGAAAGAAATTTATACCTCGAGAATCCGTAAGACAGTGTGGGAACTACGACTTTTCTCCACTCGCGCCATGGATATCGAATGTTGAACAGGAACTTTCTATCTTTGCACACTGTGTATACACCTTTTGCTAAATCTTGCAAACCGAGACTGAATCTTAACCGTATTAGCATTAACGAGGGTTATTAAAAGTTATTGGTTCCTTATTACTGCTTTTTAAACTGATAGCTTGTTTTAACTAGTCGATTCTAATATTCTGTTGTCCTTCTCACAATTAATATTGTGTCTTTGTGCGGGGTTTGCGTATGTAATGTATGCATTTTATTTTACATATTTATGCGATTTCTGTTGAAAACATTGCTGTTATTTACATGTGCAGTTTTAGTCGTCTGATGGCAGTTTGAATTTACTTTGCGAGGACATGGTCATGGTAGCATACCTTGTTATCATTCCCAGCCGGCAAATACTTTGGGCGCACTTTGAAATTTTTGGATAAAAAATTGCACTAAAAACTTAAGGGTTACCGTCGACAATGCATCGTCGCGCCCGAAAATGTCAAAAATTTCGCCTAAAAATTCCAAATTCGTAAAACTGTGCCCAAAGATATACCCAAAAGTTCCAAAGTACGCCCAAACATTTCCCCCCTGAAAAACCCAAAAGTTCCAAAATGCCCCCTAAATTTTCACCAAAAACACTCAAAGTACGGCTTAAACAGTTCTTAAGCAAACAAACAAGTAAGTGTCTGCAGTTTCCAACCATGCAAATTGCGTCTATCGTTATCGTTAGAAACCAGTGGTTAAAGAATGCATATGTATGAGATCCATAGATTTACTATAAAATTTTGAATTCTTTGCACATACTCGTCTTCCGTCTCAGAATTGCTGGTTACACCCTAGTTAGCGTTATTCATATTCTCAGGAGAGGACAATACTTTGTTGATTTCAGCGTACTCCGATGTACAAGCATTCAGTAACTAAGGGAGGTCAGTGGTTTCAAAAGTGAACATACCGGCGTCTCACGGCGAGGCCTCTTTCCGTGCAGGCGAAATCTTTCATGGCTGTTGTGAAACCATTTCTGAATGCTGGAAACTATTCTTCCAGCTGTGATGTCTTCATCAATACTACTGTCTCTGTGGTAGTTGAAGGTAACCCCTGAAAAACTAAAACAAACTGAAAGGTACCCTACCTATTGTGACGTTGGCAAGCAGAAGTTTTTAAAACGGTCTTTTCATAACAGTTGATGAACATGAAAACAGCCTGCTGTAAGTCGGAGCGAGTAGTAGATTCATTATTCGCCTCACAGACACTGCGATATCAGAACCCACTAATGGAACCAGTTCACTGGCAACGGCTTCTCGAAAGACCGGGTCTATTAACTGCTTTCCAAGTTGTGAAAGCTTGGCATCTGTATCGATCTGCCACCAACCAGATGACTTCATCTTTTCAGAGGCATAGATGACCCCTAGATCCCTCTGGATATTTGTTGCTTCAACAAGCATGTTTGTAGTGCTCTTCATTTTACTAGGACTTCCTAAAAAAGGGGGGTTGCCAGGCCTCACGACTTACCCTCAATCTTTATTCTCTTTTCTCGAATTAGTCCTGAAAGTAATTATTTCAACACATGTAAATGCTTACCCTCAATTTTCGTCAGTCATGCTTCAATTAATGCTGGAAGGCAACTACAGACATAAGGTTTAGACTTACCATTCGATGGGGTTAAACTATAAGAAGTACTTGCTTCAATCACAGTTGGTCTCCTGATTGATTGTCAGAAACTGTTCGAAGTATCCGCTGACGACGAATTACTGCAAAGCGACAAATGTAATGAGAAAGTTACCTCATTATCCGTGAATTCAAGACAAGTTTACGGAAAATGGGCGTACTGTACTGAAAGGTTGAATCTTCCAGTATTCGAACGGGATAGTTCATTGGTGCAGTCATCGGAACCTTTTATATTTCAAAAATCAAAGATTTTTGCAATTAACCGGCTCACGCTGCAAACTCGCAGGTTCAGTATCTTCAGTTGAGGAAGATTGTTAATCACCTTCGTACTGGCTCTTGCTTTTTGAACCATTTCTAAATTATCTAAAGTTATGTAAGTCAACAACCTTAGAAGCTTACCATATCTAGCTAGCACATAAATCCTCCTCAGGCTCCCTCTGTAACTTCAGATCACTTACGGTGTAATCCTGAGGTAGTCTTATCAACCCCTGAAATACCGAAGCATCAGCGACGATCTTGATTTTCTCAATAAGTGGGATTTTTACAATAAGGTAGGAATTAGTCACCTACAAATGAAGCTGAGCAATTAGTTGAATACAACAGACACATGAAGAAGTAGAAGCTGTGAGGATTGTTTATTTCGAAATGGATACAGTATGCATTCATAACCAAGTTAGACAAATTATTTACTAAGTGGGAAATACAAGGCAATCCCTTCCAAGAATGCTAGACCTCATGTGATATCATCTACGAAAGTGCGGAGCAATGGGATGATGACGGATGAGTTAATAAGTTGTAGGTTTATGTATTTCGCCTGAACTTCATCGTTAGACACGAACTCTGCTAAAGGCTTGAAGTTGTCAACCTCAAATATGTCTAAGCACTGTGAAGCAAAGGGTGTCGTAAAGAAAGATATAGGTTTCGCATAACGCCTTCATCTCAGTTCATCAGCAAGTATTCCGCAAACGACTATTGGGAGGGCTTCTACTAAAATGCAGTTATCCGGTGACGTAGTTGTTATCTTAAACTGTCTGGTTTGCTGTGTTAACTGAAGTTTCCTTTAAGTTTTCGTTGAATCTAGGCATATTGGCTACCCTGCATCTTTCGGAAAGCCGTTTGCATATCTGAACAGCTGGATTACTCGGACCCTTAACCAACTGTTTTAGGAAGTAGATGTAAGATTCAAATGGAAAGCATGAGGACGCTTCCGGTGGGCCATAGTTAGCTACATCGTCAGGCAAATGTAGTAAGCTGTGAACGTCATGCGCCATATTTTCAGAACCGTAAATAACGTGGAAGTTATTCACAAATTTCTCCAGTAAGGACCTAGCGCTTGTAATTTGGCTAGCGTAGTGTTGCTTGTGACCTAATAGATAAGCTCTTAGAAATAAGTCGAAGAAATTGTCACAGGATAGGAGGGCGGATATCCTTAAGGTACACCACGCCCAAATATGACAAAAACATTCAACTCTGTGGCTTTCCACTAATCCACCTCCGCTAAAGATCTACACTTACGCTGGAAGTCACAAGGTGTTAACTTCTGGGCACCTAAATGCCTCATATTAGTGGTATCTATAACGTGTTTATTTAGTGGGTGTATACTGCGGTCTGTCTAAACCGCGAGATGCTAATGAGTTTCTAAGGGATACTGTCAATGATGTGAGATCACTGTATGAGTCTGGCTTGGATCTAGGTAGCGGGGTTTTGGGTGTAAGCCAGTCTTAAAGGGTGTTACCTGTGACACCTGAACAGTCGTTCGCTAATGGGATTCTATATTTTTATAATAAATCTATGGATCTCATACATATGCATTCTTTAACCACTGGTTTCTAACGATAACGATAGACGCAATTTGCATGGTTGGAAACTGCAGACACTTACTTGTTTGTTTGCTTAAGAACTGTTTAAGCCGTACTTTGAGTGTTTTTGGTGAAAATTTAGGGGGCATTTTGGAACTTTTGGGTTTTTCAGGGGGGAAATGTTTGGGCGTACTTTGGAACTTTTGGGTATATCTTTGGGCACAGTTTTACGAATTTGGAATTTTTAGGCGAAATTTTTGACATTTTCGGGCGCGACGATGCATTGTCGACGGTAACCCTTAAGTTTTTAGTGCAATTTTTTATCCAAAAATTTCAAAGTGCGCCCAAAGTATTTGGCGGGTGGGACCGCGAATTCTCTCACCTGACTATTATTTCCATGAAACAAATGCCACCCGAATAACTTTGCTCACTCACTACACCCCTGAATGTACACGTACTTACATGTATATATACATGTGTTAACATATGCTGTTCAGTGACTTTGACTCAACACTTACAGAGGTCAAACAACCGATCGCTGCGCCAGAGCACTTTCATTTTAATTATTTTAGAAATTTTAAGCACTTGTAGAACTTTTCGGGTTTCATTTCATGACTTCCATTTTCATAATCGGTGTAATGGTAGCATTTCTCGTCAATATTGAACAGTGGTAATATGCTGAAGTGGTAGCACTCATTGTCTTCATCTAAGTACACACTGGGCACTAGGTGAACAGTTGCTGTAGATATCTGTTCTGTTGCAAGCATTTAACTCCAAGGATTAATACATATCTCTACATCATTGATGGGTTTTCATTTATGTTGTTTAGAGCAGCTGAAGAGAAATATGAAGGCACTTATTTTAGTTGGTGGTTATGGAACTCGTCTCCGGCCGTTAACGTTGACCTATCCCAAACCAATTGTAGAATTCTGCAACAAACCACTTTTACTTCATCAGATCGAAGCACTTGCTAAGGTAAGAGTTACAATATGTTATCCTTGTGCGTTTCCGAAATATACGATATCAACTGCTATTCCTCCATATTTTACTGGTTTATATTAGAACGGAGCAAATACAAACAGATTTTCTTAATGAAATGACACTACATCATGGATATTCATCAGCTGCATGCAGCTTAAAATCACATATCGTTGTGAAAATAAACTGTGATTTGTACACGAATAAATCGACTTTTCAAGACTATGAAAATACCGGGCGAACAAAGATACTAGAGAAGGCATTTACTAGGCAGTTGATAGTGTATCTGCCCACAAATAATCAGGAAACTTGGAATAAATGTGACCAAAACTAACTAGATAGAGAGGAAGACATACTATAACCAGGGTTAGAACAGTATAGTCGCAGTCGTTTTTGTATACAAAGTTAGGTTTAAAGGATTTGATTGCAATCCATCCATCCAGACCAACCTAGGACCAGGCATTGCAGCGTAACGGTCTGAGTTGCCACACCTCATATCAGTACATCAAGTAAAAGGCAGTGAGGCGCAAGATGAAGATAACAGAATGCAGTCAGAAGAAATATAAAGTACGAAAAGGGAGAAACGAAGAATGAGATTCGGTATAGCGTTGTTAAGATGAGGATAATGTGTGTATACATCCGCGCCACTGACATCGGTTCTCAGCCATATCACCTAGAGTTTCCGACCACTGGTTCCTCTTGTCCCGCGGACCCCAACCACCTAGTCTGCATCGCCCCACGTGGCTCAGACCAACAGTCAGAGACTTCACACATTGGTGCCATGTTTTAGTCTGGTCATCTCAGGCCTTTTTCCAGCCAGGACCTACTTCAGCCAACATTGTATGACAAGGTAATCGGCGACTAGGCATACGTAACACGTGTCTCAACCATCTCAGTCGATGGTCTACAACCTCGTCAACTGATTTACCTCTTCTCCCTAAAACTCTACTCTTGACTTCTGCGTTACTCACGTGGTGACACCACGGAATACGGCCTATATTAGAGGCAACGGTTGTCAAACATCCGAAGCCAGCCTTCTCATGTCTTCCACCTTCAATGGCCATGTTTCACAGCCATACAGTAGAACAGAGTGGACTGCTGTGCAGTTCACGCCACCCTTAATAGATAATCGGATATCACGGCGGCACCATAGATGGTGTTAATTGGCGAAAGCCAATCGAGCCTTTTGTATTCGTGCAGAGATTTCATCGGCCACTGACCCACCAGTGCAGGGTTGACCCCACTTCCCAGGTAAGTGAAGTGGTCGACACACTCAACCACTTCACTCCCTATTGTTAGCCGAAGCATCATTGAAGACCGATCCTGGGGCAACAATTTGCATTTGGGTGGTGAGAAACGCGTCCCAAACATTCTCAGTGTTCAGAAGACTCTACATTTTGTCAGCGTCTTCACCTAACAGGACATTGTCATCTGCATATTCTAGGTCTAACGAAAATTCTCCACCGATTAGGTCAACGTCTGTGTAATCAGGTGACGAGAGGGAGGCCTCCATAAGAATATTTATGATAGAATTGAATAAGGATGGAGAGAGTGGGCACCCTTGACGGACATTACTCGATGAGTACAGCTCACCGGACATTTCACCATAGGCTCTAACACGCCCACAAGTGTTCGAGTAGAAAGCCTTCAATATAGTGATATACTTGCTCTGCACGCCCTTCAGTGAGAGACATTGCCATAAGACTTCTCGATCAACGGAGTCGAATTCTGCCTTCAGGTTGAGAAATATAGCCAGTGTCGGGCGTCGGTAAGCGTGTCTGTGTTCCAAAACCTGGCGCAGTGTGAATACTTGGTCGATACATCCGCTGCCAGGTCTAAAGCCTGCCTGATTTTCTCGGGCTTGTTGTTCCTGAGCTCCACTCTGGCGTCGAAGTATTATAGAACCTAGAATCTTAGACACTATGTTCGTCAGGCTATGGATTAGCGCAGTTAGCTTGATCATTTTTGTTGATTTATTTTTCTGCAGGTTTTCGAGGTTTTGGGATTCGACTGTTTAGTTCTGGAGTCATCAATCTATTTATAAATTATCTTTACTAAGACATGCGATTTTAAGGGGGGGGGGGGTGATGTTTCCATCGAGATTTGAATCGAGTACCAAACTGTTTGAAGCGTTCGAAACCCATGTCCTGGATTTAACTGCTAGCCACCAAGTAAACCATAATATAACATCTAGGTGGTATTGACACATCCTCGTATAAGCCCACCTGCCAACAGAGGTCGAACAGCTCGATCCAATATAACGTTAGATTGCAAGCATCAGCAAATAACAACCGATACCCATTGTGAAAGTGGTTGTTCTTGTGCCTCAGTGGCCCAATGGATAACGCTGTGGTATTTAAAGCGGTGGGTACTGGGTTCCTGTTTTAGTGAGAACATCACCACTGAGGTGGAGATACGCCCAGCTGACGAGTCCTATATGGGGCAAAACACACTTGGATCCCACCGCTAGTCGCTAACTAAACTATAACATGAGGAAATCTTTTTCGTGGATCGTTTCGAGCACTCCCCAAGTATCACAAACGTGTCTGCCGTTGCGGAATCCTAATAAGAAATAAATGTTATAAGACCTGTTGAATTGCATTGCAATACAAGGTTATATTGAGAGTCAGTTGATGCGTATCATCAACGTCTTTCAGATGTTTTTCATGATGATTTCATGATTTCACTCAGTTCATCCCAAGGGTACCGGTTATTCAGGATACGGAAGGTTTCTAAATAATATTACAGATGACAATATTAGATAGCGCATACTTAATTCATGCTGTTTTTTTGGAATGGTATCAGTTCTGAAGCACTCTGTTTGGATCTCTAGGCCTATTTTTACGTGGATCCATTTAGAAATCTCCATAAGAATTTTCTGTGCCTTATAACAGTGGTTAAACTCCAGCGGCCATGAAGTTTCTTGAGACCAAAATAATCTTTTAGGCTTGCCGTTATACTTAGGTCCAACCAAATCCACTCATCTTTACCCTCGATACAAGGGCTTGTTGATATGTACCTGTCCTATATCTTTGATTTTCCCGTGTTGATCTGTAACTTGTAGTAGTTCTAGAGTGATAACCAACCAACATCTTGTCATATTGTCTTTTGCATTATCACTTCCGTGTTTCCACCTCCCACTACTCTCTGTGAATCACTGGAACAAAATATAATACATCAGAAAATGGAAATCTAATGACAGACATACAAAGTTAACGTAGAACCTCGCACACAGGTGCATCGATCGGGGTTGCCACACTTCACAGCAGTACACAAAAAAGGTGAATAGAAAAAGAGTGATATCAAAAGAGATAAAGTTGTCTTGGAGAATAAACGATTTGAAGATAACGATTAGTGCAAATATTAAAGCTTTAGAAAACACTAAGGAGTGAATACATCTGCGCCATTGTGACCAATTTTCAGTCATTTCACCAAGGCTCCTCAATCACTGATTCCTAAAATTTCTGGGACCACAGCCAAGCATTTTACATCTTCCCACATGACCCTGATCAACAGTTAAGGACTTCATCAACTGGTGTTACATCTTGGTCTAACCACCCTGAACCCTCTTCCAACATAATCCAACTTTCCACAGCATTGCACTTTGAGGTAGGCGGTGGCTTGACATGCGTAGTGTGTGTCCAAGCCAGCTCAGTCGATGAAGGTTCACAACGTCATCGATCGACTTCCCCGTCTTGCCTAGTACCATTTATCAAACCTCAACATTGCTCACACAGTGATTCAATCATATGCAAGCAATGGCACGAAGACACTTGCCGTCCAAACCCCGTAAACGCTTCATATCTTCTACTTCCAACGACCATATCACAGCCTTATAACATCTACAGCACAGTAAACTGATCCTTTGATAGGTAGTCGAATATCTCGCCAGTCAGCACCACAGAAGACCCAAGTTGGTAAGTGCCGAACAGGCCTTCTGTAATAGAGATAAGATTTCGTCAGCAACCAGTCTGTCCGGGCTGATGCTTCCTAAGTTAACGAAGCGGTCGACACATTCATTGTCATTATCGTTAAACTGCGAGTGGTTACAGACCAGTGCTGGAGCATCATCATGGATTTGACTGATCCGAAACGCATGCCAAAAATACTTAGATCTCTGCTCTACGCGTCTAGAAGACCCTTTATTTTGTCAGCATCTTCACTTAGCAGGAAAATGTCATCTGCATACTCCAAGTCGACCAGAATACCTTCAGGAAGTAGGTCAGTCCCTGTGAAGTCAGATGTACCTAAGGTTGTATCCTTTGGTACGTCCTGTGACGAAGTTGAATAAGAATGTTGACCGTAGACATCCCTGATGGACACCACCAGTTGTCGTCAACTCACTTGACAACTCTCCATAACCCGTTACACGAGTAGAAAGCTTTGGTTAGCGTTATGCACTTGCTCCATACTCCTTTCAGTCAAACACTGCCACAACACCTCATGGTCGACAGAGTTGAATGCCGTCTTTAAGTCAAGAAATATGGCAAGTGTCGACTGCCAGTAAGTATGTTTGTGTTTCAGGACCTATCGAAGGAAGAAGATATGATCGATGCACCCTCATTCAGGTCTGAAACCTGCCTGGTTTTCTCCAGCTCCAGTGCTCTTCTGCAAAGGAAATCTTATGGAATGTACAATTGTACTTGGTGTAGCTGTCAGTTTTCATGCAATAGTTATTTATTCCATCTGTTAAAATCGGGAAGACTGAAACTGTTTCTTTCACATTGTCATGCGTTCAATGATACTTTACCTATTTCCCTAGTTGTGCAGTGGGTTGTACATGAACTTTTTTGTTATATATATAGTAAAGGGATCAAGGATGATTATTTATTGTTATTTCCACTCTAGGTTGGAGTGACAGAAGTTATCTTAGCTGTTAGCAAGTGTGCTGACCGAAGTGATATCTTGGAGAAGGAGCTGTCAAAATACGAGAAGAAAGTAAGCTAAAGGTTACGACTGTTTATTTATTTACTCACCATGAAAAGGATACTTCCTCTACATTTCTACCGTTATGTATTATAAGTGACCTCGTCATTACTTTCTAGTGAATACACTTACTAAAATATTCCTACAAATTTTAAAAGCATACTCTTTCATACAGTAACATAATCTAGAATTTTTATCTTCGACCTATTCTCATAAAAAGCGTCCTAAATAACACACTCCACCATGCTCCATGGTCTCCCGGTGCCGATAATATGGGTTCTTTCTATCCTGTGTTCGAACAACCAAACCTCGACTCAACAACCCATAGAAAGCTGGAAGTGATAGGCGTCAGCAGCTTCTTAATCGGTGGATACACACGAACACATTCCTGCAGGTGTCAGGCCACAATGAGGAGCGAAAGCAACTCAGATGTAGGTCGACAAGAAGTCTACATGATGACTGCAAACAGTAGTGATTAGAGAAGGCTAAAGAGATGGAAACGACAACGGCGATAGGTAACAGTAAACAGTGAGTGGGTTATGGGTTCGACCTTGTCTCCATTTGCCGAATTTTCGGCAGCCCGACAGTATCATTATCTCTCACACAGTAGGTGTAACTCATTGCATCGTATATGCAAGTACAAGTAGTTACCGGGTTTTTTTTGAGTGAAATACGGGTAATAAGACGGTTGTACCAATCAGTCAAAAATTATTAGCTAACATTTATCTGTACTTTATCAAGATTACATTTGCACAGAATATTCACAGAGTATTCACTGATGTAAATTAATTAACTGAAGTAATTAAACAGTGCTTATCTTCATTGTGATGGCTGCTTGTTTCAAGGGTCGATGTTAAAAATGAATCGATAGGTAACTAAGATTTCACATTTTTTCATTGAAAAACAAAAGGAGGTTATAGCAAAGATAATTCTCTTTTTGGCAATTCATTTTTCACAGGTGTAAATCCGTAAATATATAAGTAGAACGGTAGAATGTTCCAGACACGTTTCCGGTCAAAAGTCAAACTTAATCGATAAAAGTATAGAGGGAATGAAACGATATTACGTGTGATAAGACAGTGTCAACAGTCTTTTATAAAATGCAATGAACAGTAAGACTTGGTATTCGGTAGAAATGAGTAAATAAGCATATAAATAAGGCCGACTTGGAACAGACAACTGACCATCGTTTAAAGTTGGAAGATAAATGTTGTGCACCCAGTCACCAAGAATAAGAAAGACATACAGTGATAATACACTTATTCAAGAGTTGGAAACCCTCTGAGAAATACTGTTAGAGAATGGCTAAACATCCAGATTTATAGAAAAAGATATGAAAGAAAAGAAGACTATGAAACAGACTCAATCAGCTCCGAAGAAAATGCTTTTAATGAACTTCAAGTGGGAGGGTGATATTACCACGGACATCCATCATCAATGTTTGTTAAAGTCCTTAAGTAGAACATTCTATACTGCAAACCTCCTTATTGTGTTCTCATGTCAACAGGGGATTTTTTTTAGTCTGTCAAAGACAACTTGATGCATTGGGCCTCTCATCGCTGTGCATTGACAAGTTCATTTGCTCCTGTGAAGCTGACCGTAATACTCGCTCGCAAACACTACTCAGCCTGGTTGCTGAATAACAAACCACTAACTATCTTCAACTTCATCTTTGAATGCATCGCAGGCTCTCGACATTTGGCTTCTTAGAAACTTCATTCGAAGTTCTCTACAAAGTTCAGAAAGGGGTTAGGGATTAGATACTTATATGTAACCAAAGCTTAACAATCTACAGTTTCAAACCTCAATTGTGTATTCAAAAGAAACATGTATAAATACTCTACTATAGTCTTAAAAAGATATTCTTTGCTTCTGTTTATGTTTTATTTTTGTATCTTATTTATTTATGCGCCTATTGATTGGTTATTACCAGATACCAAATTTTCACTATTGATTGGACTTTATAGATTATTGAGACTATGTCTTATGTTACGTAATATCATTTCATTCACTGTATATTTCAGTCGATTAAGTTTGACCTTTGACCGGAAACTTATCTGGAACACTGTTATTTTGCTTATAAATTTACGAATGTACATCTGTAAAGATGAATCATTGAACTGACACATATTTAGTTGTCTCCACCTCTCAGGTTTGTGTCCGTAAGTATGGTATGTGCTTTGCAGCATTAAAGTGCAAAGTACTCTTGCGAGATTGGCAGCAGCCTATGCCTGCACTCACCCTCGCTGGTGAGCAGTTAGAAGTAGTCTACAAGTTTGTATATCTGAGTAGTTGTGTAAGTGCTGGTGGAGGTGTGAGTAGTGAAATTTTCAACAGCATATCGAAAGTCAGAGTGGTATACGTCAGTCTGGGCCACCTTTGGGGCCGTCGCGACGTTCATCTGACTGTAATAGGTTGAGTTTACAACGCTTCAGTGAGAGCGGTTCTGCCGTACGCCTATGAAACCTGACCTCTCCGAGCTGAGGATGTGAAACGACTGTGTGTTTTCGATCATTGTTGTCTCCGTATTCGGTGGCAACACCATGTAAGTAATTCTGAGGTACGACCGCCAGTGTTTGAGTATGATGGAGATCGTCATTCAATAAGCGAAGTCATCTGGAAACACTGGCTTCATCGGCTTGGACATCCGTTACGCATGTCATCCCAACGGCTTCCATACTGTTCACAGCTTGCTAGTCCGAGGTCTGGGACTGGATGGAAGAAGCAGAGGGGGTGGTCAGTGTGGCGCCATAGGTTGAAGGATAGGTGTATCCGGTTAGCATCTTTTAGCGCATCACGACACCTGGGGTGGGGTCCGAGAGATCACTCAACTCAATGGCTTGAGATATTATCAGGTGTCTCGATCGAAACCAGTGGAGATCATTCTGCAGCTTCCTTCTATCTTCTGCTACTGAAAAGTAGTGAGTGTTTCGTTTTGAATGTACCTTATTGGACTGCCCTTCTAATCATTTTATTCTCATTGCGTTTTATTGTTATCGACTTCCCTTCGGTTTATGTCTTCATAATGTTATTAATACCATTTTGTGTGACGCATTTCTTGTTACCCTCAGTGTATCACTTTTGTGATAATAAATAAGTGAAAATATCATGTTTGCTACAGTGTTCTCAGTGTTTAAAAGAATTGTAGACCTGGTATCATTGTTCTATTCAGCCTAAGCAGTAAGGAGAAGAAAGGCACCTCAATTTTTCCCTGGGCTGTTTACTTAACGCTTAGCCCATACCGTATGAATCGCTGACTCCTTTTTCATGATATTCTCACTACCGACTGTTACATTTCATTTCTTAGAGAAGACCAAAAAACGGACTTATACATTAAAGTATTCTTCACATCCATTCCCGACCACTACTTTCATTTCATGCAAAACATTTGGTTAGTTTAAACTACGATTGGTTTCATTTCCCACTGAAATGAGTTCCTTTACATCACCTAGTTTGAATGGAACTTCTCTGGCTCATTGGTTTTTCTCAATCTGTTACAGGTTACTAACACTTATTATCAATGTTTTGCAAGTAATTAGTAGTAGTAGTAGTGGTAATAGTAAGTTATAAACCACTTCCATTGTCTCCAGGATAATGGTATTGGTTGGTTATCCGAACCTCAGTAGGCAAGTTCAAACTCTTGGGCCATTGGTTGAAAAAAGAGTGCTCAGTGTATCAACTTGTAGTTTTTCAACTGCTATTTTTCACGTCAGAATGGATATTAGACCGATGAGCACTAATCAGCATGTTGTGCTGATGCCGTCTTTCAATGCAAACAATGGGTTTGGAATCGCTAAGACAACCAGATTAGCGTAGAACCTGGCAAAAGCGTATCAATTTCAGTTGCCACACTTCATAGTACACTGCAGAGAAGAATAACAGATATCATGAGAAGAGAAAGAATAAACAGATAAAGGCTTGTGAAAATATTCAGGGCTTCGAAGATGGCAAATAACGTACACGTCTTTGCCATCGTAACTGATTTTAGCTGTATCGCTGAGTCCTCCAGTCACTGATTCCCAGTGTTTTGAAAACTCTTGTCAGGCAGCATGTACAGGCTGAGACCAAGAGTTGGAGATTTCATGGACTGGCACCACATCTTAGTCTAACTACCTTCAGCTATGTCCCATCCTAATCTTTCCGTAGATAATATTATACGTAAAGGAGAGTGATTGCTTTTTGCGCTTATACTCATTCCACCCTAGTCGATACAGGTTCACAACTTTGGCGACTAAATTCCCTTCTTTGCCTAGTACACCACACCTAACCTCAACCTTTCTCACATGGTGGTTCCGCCACATACAAGCAGTACCACGGAAGTCCCCCATAGCCAAAAACCTGTAATCTCTTCCTGTCTACCCCTCTCACCTATGAAGAAAGATAGCTGTCTGCTGCACAGCATACTCGACCTTTAATAGGTTATCGGATTGTGTTTTTTAGATAAGACATTAAAATGACTATGTTTTGAAAACGATTTGTTCTTAAGAGAATTATACTACTCAGGAAAAGGAATTTGAAACAATCTTAAATTACGAATCACACTTATTTTTCTCGATGACGTAAAACTTAAATTTAATCTGTATTTTGTACTGTGACTGGTTAAACCGCAGTTAGTATACTACGCTGTTACAGCTTACTTGTGACCATAAAATTCAAATTTGTTAGGATAACCCTGATATTCCCCACCGAGTGCTGTCAGAGTGTCTCATATATCGCTGTTATTAATCTCGTAGATTTTTGTCAGTTATATAATGAAGATATGCCATAAGAGATGCTAAAAAACCTTACCAAAGCAATATTGTGTTGTCTCACAGCTCAATCCGTGAGGTATGAGATTAATTATTTGAATCGCTTGGCAACTCAAACTTCCCCTCTCCTCTCCTCTTTTTCCTATAATTAGAGCGTTTTTGCTAGTACAAGTACTTGACTGAGTTCCTATTAGATGGATCTCAGTATACTCTTTTATGAAAAGTATACTTATTTGTAACTGAATTTTGAGTCCCCAAATTAATAATATAACCTAAACTACTCAGTAAATGGATTCTTATTTTTACCCTGTTGTCTTTTTCTTAATTTTCAGATTGGCACTAAAATAACTTTCTCTTATGAAACTGAAGCAATGGGGACTGGTAAGTGTAGTTTCACTTATTAGATCGAGTTCCCCTAGTACTGGACAATTTCTGTATCGTTATACTGAGTTATTCATCGTTTTCCCTATGTATTCGTCAGTCGTTATTCATCTTTCGTTCCCACTGTAATATAATCCTAATTATTCACTTTCTTTTTGTGGAATCTGTTGACAAAACAGTTTTAACTCATCGGTTTATTTGAGGCCTATTGAAACTAGTCTTCATGAGTCAGCTAATTCATTTGGGGTTGCGTAGATTGACTAGCTTTTGATAACTTTCCTTTTCAGGCTGTCATTTATCTTTTTCTAGTGTTCATAGATATGAGGCTCAATAATGACTTCAGCCTGTGATTTCACCTTACTGCGATTTTGAAAATATCTTTAGAGTGTATTCTTGTCTGCCAGATTCTTTCACTTGGAAATTTAAGTTAGTGACTGCGGAGACTATCACACTGATCAAAGCGAAACAAGGGAGTACTAAGGAGGAGACAACAAATAGATATTGACAGATGTCGTCGACCCTCCAACTTGTTAAAAAAACAATTAATTGAGGTTTGGATAGGAAAGTGTACTCAGTGTTATTGAACCTAATTCTATGCGTGTATATGCAGTAACTCAACATAACTTTTTAACATCTGTGAACATGTTGAAATTAACTCAGTCATAAACTGATTTACAGAAGGCCCGTTTGGCATTTACCGACTTGCATCACCTGTGGCGCTGACTGGCGAGAAATCCGACTATGTACCAAAGGATGAGTATACTGCACTGCAGTTCATTCTGAGCTGTTATACGACTGTGAGACATAGCCGTTAAGAGTAGTACACCAGAAACGGTTACAGGGCTTTGATCACAGGTGTCTTGGTATCATCGGAGGAATCACCATGTGAGCAGTGCTTAGGTCACGTCACGGGAAGGGTTGCGAACCTTCATCGACTGATGTAGCTTGAACATGTGTTTTGTGTGGCAAGCCACCGCCTAACTCGACGTCCCGTTCCAGGAGAAGTTGTATTAGGTTGGAATAGGGTTAAGGATAGTCTGACCAAAACTTGTCTCCACTTCATGAAATCTCTGACCGTTGGTGTGAGCCATGTGAAAAGATGTAAAATACATTGCTGAGGCGATACGTACCAGTCGTCGATGACTCTTAGTGACATGGCTGAAAATCGGTCACAATGGCCGAGATGTATTCTCGCTTTGATGTTTTCTAAAGCTTGAGTATTTGGGCTAAAGTTTCTCTTCAAAATGTTTATTCACTCACACAACTTTGTCTCCTTTGATATCATTCTTTTCTGTTCATTTGTTCTTTGCTAACTATTGTAGAGTGTGGCAATTTGAATCGATGCACGTATGTGCAAGGTTCTACGTTAATTTTATGTAACCTTAGGAAGAAAATATCCATTGCATAGGATGTTAAAGTTTTGGATCGTTATCCGTTATCTGCTGTGTGATTCGGTGTAACATGTGCACGTCTACACACATATATATAGCTGAGAGTTTTGTTAAGACGAACTAGAAATAACACTGTTGGTTCGAGTATTTAACACGTATTGCATAAGTTGCGTAGTATATTGAAGGTAATATGATTATATGAAGAAGAAAAGGGTGAATACATGATGATCAAGTAGAGATAGTTGTATCTGAGTACTAGTTAATTGTCGGTAGCATGGAATGCAACGTATCAAGTTAGCTCAAATAGGTCATGCTGTAGGACTGTACCACTTGAAGGTTACCAGTTTGTGTTCAGTCAGTTGTTATGGACTTCCTGAGAGTTGTGTGGAATTCACTTCGAAAGTTTAACTGAAAAGAAATCTATTCATAAAACTGACAATGCTTGTAGACATCCATTTCGGAAGTGATATTCTTAGACGTCAGTCATGTACGCCGTAGTTTGATGCAGATCCCACTGAAACTTGTAGATAAAATCAGTTTCCGTTAAGATGTCACGTTACATTGTGAGTAGTTAATACAGTTTGCTATAGGTATTATTCTGCATATATATTTATTCTTCTGTAGTATATCATCTGTTTTAACAGCTGTTTCATTTCAAACGTTAATCGTCCAAGTTATATAACTTTAAATTATTGAAGTCTTTATAATCTTGTTATTATTCTTTGTTTTTAACTTCCATGTGTCAGTTGTCATGCAAAGCCCAACTAGGAAGTCTAATTCCCCTTACACAGCTCAGACCAACAGTCCAAGACTTTATAGACTGATGCTGCGTTTTATTTTAGCCGTCTCTAACCTTTTTCCAGCTTGAACTTACTTCAGATATCATTATACGATGGGCAAATGTTGACTAAGCATACTGTAACACATACATCAGCCGCCTTGAGTCGATGAAGGTTCACGACACCGTCGTTAAATCAAATTCCTATTTTACTAACAATGAAATATTGTGGAGCTATAGCTCATTGATCTAAGCTCCTGACTTCTATCCGATGGATCATAGATTTGAACCTATCTTCGCCTTCATAGGTCTGAGCAGCCAGGTATCAGTTGCCTTCACACTTTATGTGTGGTTCGTTGTCGACTGAATGAACGTGCACAATGTTGCTGGGTGTGTTTCGACTCCGAAACTGAAATTCTCATCATGAGTGATATTTTAAACCGTTGGCACAATTAGACTCCTAAATTTATAAAACTCACCCTGATCCAAGCAGAAGTCAACGCTTGTATTCTTCATAATTCAAGAGTTGTTGGAGCTTGCACTTCATAACGATTTTACCCGATGAGCGATTGTTATACAACCGGTTAAACCCTAGGAATGAGTTTTTCATAGTACATATTTTATTTATTATCTGATTTTAATATTATGGTATACTGTTATCCTTATGAATAGTCATTCGGTTTGTACTTTGTTTATTTTCTAGCTGGTCCAATAGCCGTAGCTAAAGATATTCTCCTTGATGATGAAGGCCCATTTTTTGTACTCAACAGTGATATTATGTGCGAGTTCCCTTTCAAAGCTCTCATGGAATTTCATAAAAATCATGGAAAAGAAGGAACTATTTTGGTTAGTCTCTTAAAAAAATAATGCTATGTTAGTCGTTTATTTATTCACTCTGTCAATTTGCAACTGAATATCTATCAATTTCGATAGCGTAATTAAAAGATGAAGTTTATCTGAACAATGTGTAACATGTATTTGAGCAATACATGTCGAACAATCTGATCCCACACACATTAACTTGTCAAGTCAATATATATTAAACCAAAGAATGGGAGAACAATTACAATAATTAACACAATAGGGGGATTAAAATTAACAAAGATGAGAACAAACAGGAAGAGTGACCTAGTTGATCCAAATCTTCGTAAGAAAGCAAGTTTACCAAGCAAGGTGTATAGTCTCTTCAATATGACGTTTGACCACAGTAAGATGAGGTAGAAGTCAAAGAGCCATCCTTTCCCCATGTCTTTTCTCATTCTTTCTGGATAAATTACCATCTTCAGCTGGTATCAATTTCATTAAATATACTGATGACCTAACAGTTTCCATACCTATCTCCTCTTCAGTAGATTGTTTCCAACTGAATAATTTCCTATCTACTGTTAGACGATGGTCCTGCGAGGATAATCTTTTGCCTAATTCCTCAAAATTTCAGACCATAAACTTTCGTTTTAGACGTAAACGTAACCTATATAAACTACTTACTTCTCATGATTCCTGTTCTACTGATAGTTACGAATTAGAGAATGTTACAAGTATGTTTTTCTTCGGACCTTTGAGGTCTTCTCATATGTCATTAATTTCCAAAAATAATTTCCGCCTTTCTATATTAGGAAGCTGAGAGTATCTGGTATTCCTCAGTCTCTCCTTTTGTGTTTTATAAACTCATGCATCTTCCCTATCCTCCTCTATAGCTCAGCGGTTGAAGCTTCTTGGTGAAATGACTGGAAATCAATCACAGTGCTACAGATGTACTCACTGTTTCATATCTTCTAAAACTTCAATATTTTCACGAACTATTCATTTTCAAATTCGTCTTTCTCACATACACCTTTGTCTACTTTGATATCACTCTGAAATGTAACAAGTTGAATAGATTCACTTCTCCACAAGGTTCTATGTTGATTTTCGATTGCGCAATTAGAAAACGAAGTTTATGCAGTGTTTAGGTTTTTGATGAATAATGTGTTTTTGTTTTTTCCACAATGATAAAATTCGCCACGTAATATGTTTTCATAATGGCTGATGTCAACCTACATCTCAAAATGATACTATTCAACTCCCCTCTGTATGGTAGAGTGATATGGAGGCTTTTCTTAGGAACCATGTATAGAGTTGGCTTCGGTGCTACTTGACCTCTGCAACGGTTTATAAACTTCATCGGATATTCATTTTCCATAAGTGCTTTGGTCAGTAATTTGATATCTTCACCCATCGTACATGGTGTGCTGACACAATAGATCCTATTAAACAGACATTTTAGTAGACCTCTCTTGTACTGGATTGGACAAGAACTGTGAAAATTCGGGTATTGTCCTGTTCATGTAGGCTTTTTGACCGTCTTATTGAACCATCTTCTCGTCGACTCAGGAGTATATCTAGAAATGGCGAATGATTATTATTCTCTTTCTCACAAGTCAGGTTGATGTGAGTTTATACGTTGTTAAGTCTTTTAAGTAGACAAGCCATATCCTTATGCCTCTCGCAAATCACTATGATGGCGGAGAGGAAACATAAAAACAACGCTTAGTCAAGATATTCAAACTTTAGAAGACATCAAAGAGTGAAGTTTCACACCTATGAAATGTAAAATGATACTACAGGACTGGTCTGCTACAACCACTCTCAGTTTAAAGATACGGATTGAAGGGTAGGAAGTGTCGACCACCTCACTTACTTGGTGAGTTGTATCAGCTCGGATACAGAAGACCCGTTTGTCATTTATCAACTTGGATCATCTGTTGCGTCGACTGGTTGGATATCCGGCTATCTATTAAAGGATGAGTACACTGTGATACAGTCCGTTCTTAGCTGTTATGCGGCTGTGAGACATGGCCGTCAAGAGTAGGCGGCATGAAGCGATTACAGGGTTTTGATCACAGGTGTCTTGGTATCATTGCTGGCGTTTGGAGGAATCACCTCGTGACCAATGTTGAAGTCAGGCGAAGGATAGTAGGCAAGACAGGCAAGTCGATTGATGATATGGCTTTCACGTATGTTTTGTATGGCAAGCCACCACCTACCTCGACGTGCTAGATAGGCGAAGGTGAAATAAGTTGGAAGATGCCTTAGGGTCGCCACACCAGGACGTGACACCAGTCCATGAAGTCTCTTGTTGTTGGTCTGAGCCGTGTCGGAAGGTGTAGACTACCTGGCTGGCTGAGGATAAGAATTGGTGGTTGAGGACTCTTGGTTATATGATTGAAAATTGGTCACAATGTTGCTGATGTGTTCACTCCTTGACAACTAAAGCTTGAATATTCGCACTTACCTTTATCTTCAGCTTGTTTATTCTCTCACACAACTTTATCTCCTTTGATATCAGTCTTTTACTATCCTCCCGTTCTTTGTATAGTACTGTGAAATATGGCAACCTAAGCCGATACACTTGTGTTCGAGGTTCTATATTGATTTTATCTGTCTGCCTACCTGTTAAAGACTGAATACTTCTGCTTCACTATGACCATCTTATGCCATCCGACGCTTTTCCTGATAGCAACATTAATGTCATGAAGTGCTTTGATTAAATAATAACTATCTTTGTAATTGTGTTGAGGCTTAGTAGCTATCCTGGTATTAAAATAATTTACAAGATCTCTCACTGTACTAGAACGACCATTTACGCTAAATGTTAGATAGTTGTTATCGATTTGATAGTGTTTCCTAACTTTTGGTAACAATTTCTTGTACAAAACCTACAGAAATTGATATTGACTGGTTTTTTCACCAATGAATAACTTCTTACTTATATGCTCTTTATACAATATATTCTGTTGTGAATTCAGTTCAAAGTAAATGACTATTGATTTATGCTTCACTAGAGTTGTGACTCATTGGTTTATAAAGTTGATTATCAATCAAGTGGGGTCATGGGTTCGAGCAGTGTCCCATATATCGAGGTTTTGGTTGTTAGATAGTATATATCATTATCCCTCACACACACGATAGGTGTATGGCTCCATTTCCTTCTGCAAAAATGTGATTAAGCTTGCTGTGTGGATTTCGATTGCGATTCGACTGTACAAGGAAGTCACTTGAAATACGTTATTGGGAAGTTCGTAGTGGATTAAGCAAGAAGTTGAGTATGTGTAAATACTGCTAAGATTTACTAAACACTTCAATATTGCAGATTAATGAAGGTTATTGATATCAGTTACCAGGCTTACAAACCATTCAGATATCTATCTCTACTCAGTCGACTTCATATGACTAAAGCAAGACAAACGTTTGCAGACACATGGATAGATAATTAAACAGCAGGTTTGTGTAAGTAAAGTAGACGGAGTGACTGAGAGCCATTGAAAACAAGAGAGCACTAGATAGCTGTTTCATCCTAGCAACACGCCCTCACGACCTCTTGAGGGATCAAACTCGGGACCTTCCGTTTTCACGGCATTAACCATTTAGCCACTGGAGCTGAGTTCAATGCCCACAGTGTCCTACTTCTGCTAGTTCGCGTGGGATTTGGCGTGACTATCCACCAAGGTCTTCAGCTGGCATACGTTTCTTTCCGAGCGGTTGTTTCCACAGGTCACGGCTCCTAATTAGGACTTCAGGATATATATCTGAAACCACGTCACTAATGAGCATTATATAGTAATGTATTTTGAGGTTAATGTAGATAAATGATTATCCGTAACCTATGGGGTCAACCAGTCGAAAGTGAAGCGGAAACCAACTGAAGATCTTTATGCATAGTCGCGCTATATAGCGAATCCATAGAAGTATGAGACAGTTAAGCATTGAATCCCAACTCAGTGACTGAATGGTTGCTGCTTTCTTCGTGAAACCTGAAGGTTCTAAATTTGGTTCCTGGCGAGGCTGGATCGTTGTTGAGTGCGGCTGAGTCTCATAGTAGGACAGAACAGCTGTTCTGTGCTTCCAGGTTTTGAATGTTTCTCAGTCAGTCCATGACGAATACTATCTCAAAATGGAAATTCTTATTAACCTTAAAATATATGAAAAATTATCTCGAGAATACAAACAGAAAATAAAGTAAACAAACAAAAACTTTGATTATTGAAGCTCATGCTATATGCGTCGCTTTAGCGTTATTGCAGGTACAGGCAGAAGTAGATGTTTAGTGATTGTTAACACGTTAATTATTCATAACATGCTTGTTGAGAACTTGGGTTGAATGGCTACCGTGCTTGTCGCGAAACCTTCCTTTCCTGGATTTAATCCCTGGTGGTGTCATGAATGCTCACTGCTGAGCTGTCCCGTATTCAGTCTAAATAGTTATCAAGTGCTTTTAGGCTTTCAATGGTACTATGATTGATATGCGTTCATGATGAACACTATCTTGAAATTTGTCAGTCCCCACAAACCTGTAAACTGAAATACTTTTATATTTCTTTGTTCTCTTACCTGTTGGGGATGATATCATCAACAAGCCCTGAATAAAATATGCATGGTATGTGAAAATAAAGAAGTACATTTTGGTTATATGTTGAGAAAAAAGCGACTTATATAATCTTGATTATATTCAATTACCTTACCAGTTTCCAAAATAATTGCACTTTGGTGATGATCAGTTAAACGGGAACTTTAAGTTACTCGTTATATTCAATCATGACTATGTTTTTGTTTCTGACTGTACTTGTCATTTCTCCTTAGTTTCTCTATTTCTCATAGATAATACATGTATTCTAAATATATTACTTCTTATTTTTATATCATTGTCCGTTTTTTTCTTCATGTTCCACTTAGGTGACCCAAGTAGAAGAACCTTCCAAGTATGGTGTTGTCTTATTCGATCCGGCAACTGGACGTGTGGATCGTTTTGTAGAAAAGCCAATTGAATTTGTTGGTAATAAGATCAATGCTGGTATATACTTACTCAATCCTAGTGTTATCGACAAGATACCTGTGAGCAATTTTATATTTTGTGCAGTTTTTATCCATAACCTTGTTTATATTATATTCTCTGAGCTGGGTCGTTTAATCGATGTGATACAAAGAACAACGAAGAAAAGCTCTCTCTCAGGAAAAAGGTGCTCAAAATCTCAGAAGTATCTACAATCGAGTAAACAAATGACTGTGTCGCCAACTAATTAAAACAACTACTAACAAAAATGGGAGAACTTTTTCGAAAAGGATTGAATTACTACACAAGAGATGCCTCGAAACCAGAATTCTTCGCTGCATTAGAATCATCAATTTAGAACATCAGAATTAAATGAGGTCATTCAACTAGAAAAATACGGTAAACAATCGTACCATTGACCAGGCAGAGATATCATGTTCAAATGAACACTCAAGAACAGAAAACGTTAAAAGGTTGAAAAATAGGAAAGACATCGTTATACTTCCAGCAGACAAAGGACGCACTACAATAGTCATAGATAAAGAAGACTACATCAAGAAGCCAGAGGAATTACTCAGAGACGAAAATGTATATCAACAACTTGGAACCAACCCTATCCAGAAGTTCGACAATCGTATCAACAAAATCTTGAACAAACCTTTCAAAGCAGAAGAAATAACAAAGCAAGACAAATGGAGAATGAAATTGAATGGACCTGTCCTTCCTCGGTTCTACGGCAGACCAAAACCACACAAACCAGACATTCTTCTACGACCAATTGTCTCACTTCAGAGAACTCCAACATACAACATATCAAGAGAACTTTCCAGAAAACTGAAACACCTTGTTCAATCATGCGGACATTCTCTCGAGTCACCAACGGAATTCCTAGAAAAGATCAAAAACAACGAATTGATGGTATCCTTCGATGTCACAGCACTATACACATCCATCGAACCCCGATTGGCCAAGAAAACTATATCTCTCTTGCTTAATGAAGACAAGCTTTACAGAATGCGCAAAACTTCAGTGTTCAAGTCTGATAGAACTCATCGACCTTTGTCTGACAACATACTTCCGATTCAATGGCAAGATATACAAACAGATGAAAGGAACTCCAATGGGATCACCGATATCTGAACTAATTGCATAAGGAGTGATTCAGAGACTGAAGCCATCATTCTACCTGTGGTTAGACCGAAAATTTGGATTCGCTGTGTAGACGATACTTTTATCATCATTAAAAAATATGATATAGAAAGCACTAACAGTTTGATCAACAATGTTTTCAGTGACATCAAATTCACAATGGAGAAGGAGTCGAACAACCAACTACCATTCCTGGATGTTTCAGTCAGTATGGCAAATGTCGGAAAGCTGGGAATCTAAGTGTATAGGAAACCTACACACATTGATCAAATCCTCAACTACAATAGCAGCAGCCCAGCAACACACAAATTAGTTGCATGGAGACTCTATTCAAAAGAGCGAAAACACACTGCAGTACAACAACTTCACGGCGAAACAAAGAAAATTACTTGATGTCTATCCTAAAGAAGAATGGCTACCCACGAAACTTTATCAGAAGATACCTATCCCGTACATCATCAATTACAAAGTCATCGACAGAAATCAACAAATGCATCATCCTACCATACATAAAGAAAATATCAGAAATCACGACAGGATTGCTGAGGCCACTTGGTGGAATTGGTGTGGCTCATAAACCAACAAATTCCCTCCAAACGCCATTATGCAGACCAAAGGATGCAACAACCAAAGAAAACAAACCGAATATCATTTACAAAATCAACTGCAATAACTTTAGTCAACACTACATTGGAAAAAGTGGCCGCCCTCTTCTCCTTCGTCTATATGAACACCAATTGGCTATTAAACGTCACGACATTCCATCACTCATTTCAATGCACACGGGTAAGTAAGGACGTGAATTCAATTTCGAAATGAAGAAATCTTGGACGAGGAGAGGAAACAAAGAATATCAGAGAATTTCTAGAAGCCTGGAATTCAGTTCAGTCAACAATAAACAGATGCATAGACATAGACCCAATAAATCAACCAATGAGAAAAATGGTAAACGACAGAAAGATCAGAGGTCAAGCAGAAGGACAGCCAACAGGAAAATCTATTTGATCTGTTGAGGACACGACAATCAAAGGAAACAAGCAATCACAAACCCGTTGGTCAGGGCAAGCTACTGAATCACTCACAGAGAGATATTGACAGCTCACTTCATATTGAAGTTAGTGCTGATGATGTCATCTAGCAAGATGATGAAAGCTTCACGATTAAATAACCCAGCTCAGAGAACACAATACAAATAAGACCATCCACCTGAGCTACAAATGTTCTCCATAACCTGTTTCTTGTTTAGCTTATCCGAAGATTTGAACATCCACATATCCAGTTTATACTGCACCATCTATACACACAGGATCGCACACAGTGTGTCCGAAAGATAAACAACCCTGATGGTTAGAAAAGGACTGGATAGCCTACGATCAACTTGGGAAGAATTTTAGTGCCAAAGCCACTGACTCATAAATTCATGCTTATGCGTTTCTGTCATATCTTATTGCTGGGATGTACATAACAATGCTTTTGGAAATAAAAATCATTGACTTGAACATATGACTTTCAGGTAATGAGTCGTATGTTCACATCCTGTTGAAGTTACTTGGGCCTGGACAATGAGATGATATGACGAGCTCATGTATCCTATTGGCCTATAGTAAATGAATCTGTATTATTATGAATTATATATCAAATTGTCCCAGAGTTACCGTGTGATTCTACCATAGGTCATAATTCGTACCACTTTGCACAGTAACTACTAGCCTTGTTGATAATTTATTGAGTATGCCAGCTGGTGAAGTAGGATTCTTTGTTGTTCATACTCCGTTCAGATGTATGTGTGTATCTTTTTTTTTCTGTCGTCAAAATAACCATATAGCGTGTTGTTATTACGCTTTTGTTTGTAGATGTTTTTATGTAGAATCTGACTATCGTTACCAAGATGTTTTACTGACCACCTCATTTAGACCTGTATAACTTTCTATACCTAATAGGTTGGCTGAATTCAGTTTTCTATTTGAGAACACAAAAACTAGTCACAAATTATTAGGGGCAACTCTTTTTTGTGCAGTTAATTCATTTCGTCAACAGCCTTATAAGTTATTTCTCATTGCCTTACTAACTTTCTCTACTTTGATGCACACTGCTAAACATCAGCACATTATGACCGGAAACCACCACAGTTTGATAGTTCCAGGTATATTTCTCTATCTAACAATAGCGAGTGAAATGGTTGAGCGCGTTAACCACTTCACCTACCTGGGAAGTTGAATTAAACTTGGGGGGTCGATAAAATCTCTGCACGGATACAAAAGACTCATTTTGCTCCTGCCAACTTCCACCACTCGTGGCGTTGCCACAATATCCGGTTGTCTATTAAAGGTCGACTGCACTGTACTGCAGTTCACTCTGTTCTACCCTATGGCTGTGAAACATGGCTGTTAAAAGTAGTAGACATGAGGTTTCAGGTATTTAACCACCGTTCCCTTCGTAGCATATGCCGGATATCATGATATCTCCATGTCTGTATTGCAGAAATCAGATGTAGAGTTTTAGGGAGAAGAGGAAAGTTCATCTATGGGGACATATGTTACGCATGTCTAGTCACCGTCCGCCTCGTGGTGAAATGTTAGCTGAAGTAGGTTTAGCCAGGTAAAGGGCTCGGGGTGGTCAAACTAAAACATGACATCACTGCCTGAGATCTTTGACTGTTGACGCTCATTAGCAAGGCGTATCTAAAAGCCAGACGAAATTGATGTCCCGCCTGGGATTCGAACTCGCATCAGCCAGTGTTGTAGTAAGTGATTTTATCACAGAGCTATTCGGCCACCACTGACCTCCTGTAGAACTGGATTACATACATTGATTGATCACTGGATAGCAACTAATTGCATGTTGTCTAGTCCTGAATACCAACTGGATTCCATTGATCATTTTGCAATGTGCCCACCAGACTGGGCAGCTCACCATTGCAATGCACTTTGATAATGTTAGATAGATGGAGACATTCGGCAGGAAACCTTGCGCCGAGGTTTCGAACTTGTTGGTATTCATCAGCAACACGAAGCTGCGAATTAATGACGATAAGAGAAAACATTCATATATATATATATATATATATATATATATATATATATATGAATGTTTGCAAACTGGCCATATGAGGAGCAAGTTTATGAAACTAGAAGTAAAAATTTCTCTGAACTGCGTCGTTAGAAATATTTTCTGTTATTTTTGAAGAGTAACAGTATTGCTTAACAAAAATAATGTTACTGTTGTGCAAAACCATATACGAATTCATACAATAGGAAGGTAACCACATCTACTTTGTGCAGGTTAACCACACTAAACTGATCACCCAGATGTTTGTTGCTGGAATGGAGCTCAAACTTTAACCTGTTGATTAAAAATAATGAACTTCGATCAGTGAAGAATAGCTTTCTAGCCAAGAAATTACTGTTACTGAAATTTCCATCTCTCTTCGAATATTAATTGTAAAGTAGATAACAACCGTTCTGGTCCCCAATAATATCCAGGTGTGTCGGTATACTCCAACTGAATGAAAGAAACAGTTGGTCGATTCACGTTTTTTCCATTTTATTATTATTATTTGCCCCTTGGGTTCCCAGTTCAACACAGGGCTTCAGTAGCACGTCGCCATTTCACTCTCTCTGTAGTCTTTTTCTTTAACTTGGCTCCACGACTTCCCACAAGCTTTCATTTCTTTCTCACACCATCTCCTTCATGTCATCCTCGAATGCCCAACTCATCCTTTCCCCTTTGGGTTCCTATTCGAGGACCTGGCACGTGTTGTCCCCAAACGGTTTTCTCAGTGTATACTCAGTCCATCTCCACTTTCTACATATTTATTGAGCGATGGGTTCTTGGTTGGTTCGTTGCCAGCCAAAGTGACTTCCTTGTTGCTTATTATTTCTGGCTATCTCATCTGCAGTATCGAGTGAGCGTAGGCGGCAGCTGTTGATGATGTATGTCTGCAGTTTGTTAGGAATGCTTTCGGAAATGTGCCAAGTCTCTAAACCATCGATGAAACACTGACTTGACCGAATTAGTGTTGAAAATCCGAATCTTGTTGTTAATGCTGGGTGTAGTAGATCTCCACACTGATTCCAGGTTAATGAAGGCCTGTCTTGCTGTCTTTCCGATCCTGGCTTTGACATCCTCATCTGTGTCTGTGCTGCCTCCTGTAGTTGAAACGATGCTGCCTAGGTAGGTAGGTGAAAGAGACAACTTGCTTAAGGTTGCTCCCGTTGATGGTGATTGGTGCTTGTTGTTGGTTGGGTATCTTCATCGCCTCTGTCTTCTCTGCTCTGCCTTTTATGCCAACTTAGTGGTTTTCACCTGTAGATCTTCGAGTTTGTACGACATGAGACGTAAATCATCACCGGCGAAATCAAAATCTCCCAGGGTCTTTTCATCAGTCAAACAGCGTATATCCCTCTTCTCCCTCTTCACAGTTTGTTGCATGATCCAGTCCAGTCGACCACAATCAGGAAGATTATCGGTGATAGTAGGCGACAATCTTGTCCTACCTGTCAACTTGTCTTCACTTCAAAGGCATCACTGAGCTTTCGATTGTGAACCACTTGACATGCAGCATCATATAGCATATAGCTGCTGTTGAATGAGGTTGATAAAGGTTTGTGTCACTCAAACCATAGTGTTGAAGTAGCTGCCAAACTACTTCTTTGTCGACGCTATCGAAAGCCTTTTCAAAATCGATGAAGTTGAGGTAAAGAGTTAACTGTCATTCTATGCTTTGTTTTGTTGCTGATGCTCAGCGTAACGTTGCAATTTGATCCGCGCATGATTTGCTTTTCCTGAAGCTAGCCTGTTCCGGTCTTAATTTTTTTCCATAGATACACGGAATTTTGGTTGACGTGTAATACATTTCTACAAACTAATAAATTTCTGTACTCTCTTTTTTCTGGTAGAAAGTGTAACATTTTTTGCTAACGCACCAATCTTTTCCCCATGACTGCATCACAGTTATTATTATCAACCATTCTACTCTTGTTTATTTTAGCTACGTCCAACTTCAATTGAGAAAGAGATATTCCCAGAGATGGCTAGTGATAAACAATTATATTGTATGACGTTATCAGGTAAATTTTCTCACGTGCCAAAAAGACTTTACATCAATAGATAGTAAAGCTTAGGAACTTAACAAATTTTATGTGATTCATTTTACTATTTTGTTCCTCACTTCCTAAAGGTGTACATATTGAATGTTGGGCAAAGTAAGTGAACAGTTGTCCAATGTTTCAGTGGTGCATTCAAAGTTGAAGAACAAAATTAGTTGTTGATACTTGCGATTTTCTGTTCCGACCCTGAATGGAATGAATTTACCTCTGTTAGTGAATAGGCCATTATGCGGATGTCCCGATAAGTAATATCTGATATCCGTTACAAAAGAGGCAACTCTGTTGCTTCAGTGTATCATAGATGGTATAACACTTTGAAGGTAGAAGAGATAGTTACTAGGCTTAAGAAGGCTACCACTCACTAGAATGCTGGTACAGCTAGTCAACTAGGGAGTCGCAATGCGCGTCCTGGACCCCTACTGTCAGTCATCACCTAGTAAATTATTCAAGAAGTCGCATAATTGTTAATTGTTTGAACTCCCTACTATTTTTATAGATACTAATTGGTCTACTAAACCTCGACTAATTCTGCTTGCAATCAGCACAGTATAGTGTGTCATAGAACTAGTCTATGGAACCACATCAAGTTCTACTGTGAATGGAGAAATAATTGTGGAAAAGTATGTTATGTTAAAAGCGTTACATAGACCATATCAAAATATGATTATTTTCTTTCATACTGGGTGATAATTGAAGCTGAGATGGAGATTTGGACCGCAGCCGGATTCGTACTAGCAATCACTGGGTTTCCAGCCCGATGCACTATCAACTGAGCTACGAGGTCCAGTGGTCGCTAATTCGAATCCAGCTGCGGTCCAAATTTCCATCTCACCTTCAATCATTATAAATGCTAGTCTGCCAAACTGCGGCTATGTCAGATAGTCAAATGACAATTATTTTCTTTGTTACTGATACTTCGTGATATAGATTTTGGCTAGATGTATACCAGTTAGTTCTGATTTACAATTTAATCATTTCGATTTATCTTCAAGTAGTACTATACACCTTGATAGTGAACACTAATCACTCTATGGTTTTATTGTATACAAGCTGTACGCTAAAGATATTGATGGTCGATGACTCGAGCTTAACCATTTCCTTCAATTTCAATTGCTGTATGTAGCTACTCCCAGTTTATTGATAATGAGTAAGGTGGTGGGTCGCATAGATCACTTCACTGAGTTGGGAAGTTACATCACCCTGATGAGATCTCAGCTGACATACAAAAATACCGTTTGGCATTTGTCAACTTGCATCATCTCTTGTGTTAGTGAAATACCCATTCTGAGGTGTCATACGGCTGTGAGACATAACTATTAAAAGTAGGAGGACACAAAACGATTACTTGGTTTTGATCACAGGTGTCTTCGTATCATTGCTGGTGTTTAGAAGAATCGCCATATGAGCAATGCAGTGGTCAGGCAAAGGATACCAGAAAACATAGGTTATGAATCTTCATCGACTGAGGTGGCGTTTGTATGTGTTGGGCTTGCCGAACCGCTGCCTACCTTGATATCCTATCCTGACGGAAGTTGGATTAGGTTGAAAGAGAGGATTCAGGGTAATCAAACCAAGACGTGACACTATTGCATAAAGTGTATAACCGTTGGTTTGTACGGTGCTGGAGTCCGTGAAATTATGGGAATGTATAGTTGAGGATATGGTTGAAAATCGATTACAATGACACAGATGTATTCACTCCTTGACGTTTTTTAAAGCTTGAATATTTTCACTCACCGTTATCTTCAGCTTGTTTATTCTCTCATACAACATCGTATACTTTGATATATATCAGTCTTTTTCTATCCACCTGTTCTTTATGTGTAGTACTGTGAAATGTATCAGGTTGGACCCGATACACTTGTCTATGCAAAGTTCTACATTGATATTTATTCATTTGTCTACTGTATTTCGTAGCCGTGGAATGAAACAAAAAAAAACATAGTAACTACATAAAATCAAAAAGTTGAGTAATTCATATTTATTGATAATACTAATATGTCTATCTATGTATTATTAGAAGTGTTGTGTATTCAGAAGTTTATTTTTCATTTTCAGGTTTTTGGATGGATGTTGGACAACCAAGCGATTTTCTTAAAGGTACACACTTGTATCTTAATTATTTAAAACAGTCGAATACTATAAAAGACATGACTCTGGCTACAGGTTCTCACATTCACGGGAATGTTTTAATAGTATGTTAAATGATTCTAATTATTTTCTTTAGCTCAATGATTATTAATTTCATTGAAATTGTATAATATAATGAAAGTTATCAATTTATGAAGATAAATGTGAACATTAGTCATCAATGTTAACTGAAATGTTTTTTTCAAGATCATCTCAGAGTTTAAGTTATCTGAAAAAAAATCTTCTTGCTCATGTTTGGCTTATCTTTGGGCGGTTAGACTAAAACATGGTATCAATGCATGAAGTCCTTAACTGTTGGTTTGAGCTATATTAGGCGATCCAGACTAGTCGATTGAGGTCTACAGGACAAGAGAAACCAGTGATTGAAGAGTTTAGCTGAGAACTAGCTCATAACCGATGTCAGTGGAGCAGATGAATACACACATTCTCATTTTAGTTGTATCTCATCATTTCCTCTCTCCTCTTTCCTTTCGTTCACTACTTTCTACTTCTGCTTCTTTTGACTGATGTTTCTCTCCTTCTTCATTTCCCATTTTATTGCCTTGTTGCTTTGGTGTGATGATATGAGATGTGGCAAGTTGGCCCGTTGTACAGTAATGCCTGATCCTATGTTGATCATGATGATGATGATGATGATGATGTCTCCTTTCAACTGCAATTTGTTTTACGTAGTTCTACCTTCTCTTATCTGTAAATCAGCCTTTATCATTTTGTTAAATCAGATGATTTTAAGGCTAATTGATTTGTATATTAGACGGGATAGTCACTTTTTAAGAGCAGCTGCTGCTGCTTGGAGACGTTGATTTGCTATAATCCCATCGAAATAAGTAAGTCATTTAGTTTACTGGTGTATGTGTTTAACTAAGAGTTATTGTGTATAACGGTTAAAGATTAGGGGTATTCAATCGGTAACTATGCTTGCTTGCTTGTTGAACTCCTACGATCTGTTCACTAAGACAAACAGATAGACTCAACGTACAACCTTGTACACAGTTGCATCGACTCAGGTTGCCACACTTTATAGTAGTATACTAAGAACTGGTAAATGGCATGTGAGAGTGATATCAAAGGAGATAAAGTTGTGTAAGAGAATAAACAGTTTGAAGATAAAGGTGAGTGCAAATATTCAAGCTGCAGAAGATGTGAAAAAAATGGATACCTCTGCGCCACTGCAACCAATTTACAGGCATTTCACAAAGAGTTATCAACTACTGATTTCTTCACTCTCATAGACCTAAACCCCAAATAGTCAGTCTACGTCTGCCCTATATAACTCAGACGAATAGTCAGGAACTTCGTCGACTGGTGCCACGTGTTGATCTGATCACTTTGAACCCTCTTCCAATAGAATCCAACTTCCCCGTAACCATGGTATGTCAAAGTAGATAGTGGCTTGGCACACGCTGTACATGTACAAGCCATTTCAGTCAACTGAAGTTCACAACCTCAGCTGTGCACTATGAATATATGAAGTAGACATTTCAAACTGAAAAAAATATTATTTCCTGTAAAGATAAGATCCAGAACTATTAAAGACTTTATTTATTATTAAAATAGGTCAAGTTGAGCATAGATATACTGATATACTATACAGATATACTATACAGAAACCATCAGTTGGAGACTGACCCAAGGTAGTGAAATATGGCTCAGAATCGATGTCAGTGGCACAGATGTATCCACAGTTAATCTTATTCTTAGTCGTTATACCGAATTCAGCGGGTTTTTTATTCCTTGATATGCTGTGTAGCAACTTGGACCGTTTTACAGTAACGCCTAACCCTATGTTGATTTGGAAATTACTGGCAAACTGCACAATCCACATTGACCATTTTTATAGGTGAATAGTCTTTCAGCTGCTCAACTACGATACCAACTAGGTTTCTGTTGGAAATCTATGAATCAACTTGATTGGTTCCTAACTACTCACTTTGTAAAGTTGTATATTTGATTATTTCCTGACACTTGTGTCACAGATCACACACATTTTTCACATTCTAGTTGGGCAGTTTAAAAACAACTACTCAGCTGTGAAAAGTGTCAGTATAGACCATGCAAATTGATCATCCTATGCAGGTTATACCGGCCTATCTAAGTCAGCTACCCAGATTTGGTCTAGACGATTCAGCTCCGCGAGCTGGATTTGTAACAGTACACTACTGACGCTGTTGAACTTAAAGAAGCGAAATGGCTACTTGGCGTTTAGATCGCTGATCTGATTGACGAAATCCGGATAACAGCGTGACTGGTTTCTAGCTACTCATGTGTTTTCAGCAGTTGAGTGGAGTACTTTTTAAAAGGAAGTAATGTCATTCTTATTCTGAACGGTAAATCTCACTTATTTCATGGTCAGCAATCTAAGTTATCTTGTTCGAAATCCGTCATTATTTCGTACTCCTTATAATCACTAACTAGTAATAAAGATACCTAATTATTCATGTGCGTAACTTTAAATTCTTTCACTCTGTCCTCACAGTTACCTTTTATTAACCTTCTGCCATGTTTGCACAGTTACTTGGATCGATACTTCCTTCAAAGCCGTTGAAACGATTAATATCTGAACTCCTACGTTTAAGGCTAGTATAGTGGGTCCTGCTGATCAGAATAGAAATAAGTAGTTTATGTTGAGAGGGCGGCAGAAATCATAGGAAATTACCAACAATGGGTAAAGATTCTGCCGAGAGAAACACAAGAGACGCTTTGGGCGTATTGAAATCAAATCAAGATAGAAGCAGACGAGGAAATGAAGCACATTGTGCAAGTGACTGTCTTAGTGCAAGGTGTACAACATTTGATGACTACTGTACCAGATGTTAATAGTAAACATTCCTTCAATTGGTGTCGCTGCCAGGATTGTTTGTTGTAGACGCCTGGTCTCAATGAATGGAAATCTAATTTTTCGACTTCCTATCTCCACGACACAATTTGATAAGCCTGCGATTTCTAATGCATTTCCCCCAACCATATTGACCGTTAGCTCACATGGTCTTATGTTCTGAGGCTGACTTATCTATCAGCGAGACTGCCACCCCCGTATCTATTAGGCACACCATCTCCCGATAATTTATTCACATTCTAACATACACAGCACCTCTATCTATGAATCTCGGACACCCACCAGCTTCGAGACCGCCTCGAAGTCCCTGAGGAAGACCTTGATGTCGCCATCCTCGGACACTGCAGGCCACAGGATCTTCATCACAACCAGAAGCAGCTACCCCACTTGAAAGAAACGAGAAAACAGAAACGAAGGAAGGAATGTTTATCATTAACATCTGGTACAGTAGTCATCAAATGTTGTACACCTTGCACTAAGACAGTCACTTGCACAATGTGCTTCATTTCCTCGTCTGCTTCTATCTTGATTTGATTTCAATACACCCAAAGCGTCTCTTGTGTTTCTCTCGGCAGAATCTTTACCCATTGTTGGTAATTTTCTATGATTTCTGCCGCCCTCTCAACATAAACTACTTATTTCTATTCTGATCAGCAACGCCCACTACACTAGTTCTTTACTTCATTCATAAACTGGTACCTAAGGCAACTCTTTTTTAATTCATTATTTTGAGAAGTGGTGAAATATTGTAGCTGAAAATAATGCAGTCCAACTATGGTCTGCCTAGGTCGTGCTTACCAAGTTATTATGAGTCGTACGCTGTTGCTTGGTAGTGGTGGTTTAAATGTCTGAATAATAAATAGGGCGTAAAGGCCAACTAAGTAGGACAGAGACTGTAAGAAAGGGAAGTAGAAACACTATACGAAAACCTTACACCAACGATAATCACCCATCGGAATATGTCAATAAATTCATAAGAAATCGTTAGAAAAATATGAGCAATTGTAGTAACTTGTGTGTTAATAATAATCCTGCCCCTAATGATAATAATGATGGTAATAATAATGATGCCAGGTTGGGAAGAGAGATCAAAGCCTCTACTATGTTATCAAACACGGAAAGCACCTCAGAAACGTTAAGAAGATTTCTCAAGTAGGCTGCGTGGGGTTAAAGTGCCATTTAAACCAACAAACTAGTTTGGAAACAAGTTTTATAGGTTGAAAGATCCTATTGATGCAGTTAGGAGAAATAATTTCGTTTACCAAATTCCGTGCAATGATTGCGAGATAAATTATGTAGATCATACTAGTCGACCGAGGTCAATTAGGCTATCGGAGCACAAAAGCTTAGCTAAATCAACATTAGTAAATTGTAATAAGATAAGAAATCTGAATCTGGCTCTGCATGCAGTTATACATAATCACACAATTGGGTGGGATAGAGCGACAGCGTTAAAAAAAAATCACTTATTTGATTGGAGGAAGAGATTGACAATCCAATCTACATCAAATACATGCAGTGATGGGAATAATTCTGCACGTGTCTCAGATGTGTGGTAAATTCTCTACTTCCCTTGTCATGATAAACAAGAAGAGGAAATTAGAAATATTTAAACTCTGTCTCAAAGTTGTAAAGTTACTTGCTGATATGACTATGGACAATAAATTGTGTCTGAAGCGTCTTTATTCAGTAAATGGTAGTGTCCTTCACTGTGTGACATTTCTAATAAACAAACTAAAGTGGAATTACAATCTACCGCAGTGCCCAAGTTCTACTCATACGTTAATAGGCGGCAAAGTAGGGTATGAGCCCTGATGACTCCCACTGTTTAAAGGTTACATCTATGTTGTACATCCTACTGTCGTTGAATATTTATGTCATAGGGAACTAAATTCTACTTGGTTATTTTTACGTTTTACGTTTTCCCTATTGCCTGTTTGAGGTACTAGTTTACACTGGATCAGATTAAAACTACTTGTAGTCAATCGGTTGGCTTTTGCCAACTTGCGCCATCTGTCGCGATACCCGATTGTAAATTAAGGGTCGAGTGTACTGTGCTGCAGTCTCCTGTGTGAAACATAACCAGGTAGAAGACATGAAAAAGCTCCTGCTGTTTGACCACCATTGCCTTTGTGACATAGGTCGTGTTCCATGGGGTCAGGCGTATAGGTTTAGGGAGGAGAGGCCAGACAGTCGGTGCAGTTGTGAACCTTCATCGACTTACATGGCTGGGAAAAATGTGTTACGTATACCTAGCCACTCTCTGCCTCATCACACAATGTTGGCCGAAGTATGTTCAGGCGGGAAAAAGGTTCAGGGTGGTCAGACTAAAACATGGCACCAGTTCATGAAGTCATTGAGCCGTGTAGGGTGATGCATAATAGGCGGTTGGGGTCCGTGGGACAAGAGTAACCAATGAGTGGAGAGTTTAGATGAGAACTAGCTCATAACCGATATCAGTGCTCCAGATGGATACATACATTATCCTCGCTTTAGCTGCATCTTATCATCACATTCACCTCATCATTTCCTCACTCTTTACTCTCATTTTCTACTTCTTTTGACTGATTTTTCTTTCCTTCTTCATTTCCCATTTTATTGCCGTGTTGCTTTGGTGTGATGATATGAGATATGGCAAGTTGGCCGGTTGTGCAGTAATGCTTCATCCTATGTTGATCTTGATGGTGATGAGTTAATCTAAGGGTTGGATCGGAAATTCCGTCGTATTTCTTTTAAAAACATGTTTGTGCATTTATCAGTATAACTTGACCAGTTGGTTATGCTTCCAGATGCAATATTTTTATAAATCGAAAGCCGCGACTTATTTCCTTTCCTCACGTAAATCTTTGATATTAGAAAGTAAACACTGTGGATTACGTTATTGTATAGTATGACGAGCTCCGTATAATTAGTTCTTGAGGAGTTAGCTGTCTGTGACTTTCCTTGCGACACCGTGTTCTACAAGTACTGATTCATAGTGGATTTCTCTTGAAGTGACGGTGATTGTCTGAAAGTTCACAAACCCTGTAATGTATTTGATGGCTATCAGTGTAAACTTCGTCCTGTTTAAAACTTGTCAGGTAGATATTCCTTCACCCCAGTGAGTGATGTTGTTTCCACTGAAACTCGAACCCAGTACCCATCGCTTCAAACACCAAAGCATTATTTACCAGGCCAGTGGATCATGACAGCCACAACTTATGCAACGGGTATCGGTTGTTGTTCATTGATACGTGTGTTTCTATACTTGTTTGACATCTGTTGGCAGATGGGGATCCTAAACGGATGCTTCGATGCTACCCAGAAATTCAGTATATTGTAGTGTACTTGGTGGTCAGCAGTGTATTCTAGGACTCACGTTATCTGGTACTTGAGACTCGTGCCCAGTGTTCACTCTTTCAAACACCAAATAATCTGCAATGTAATGAATATCTGAGCGGTATCAATGCATCTGCCAACAGTACTTGAGCAATTCTACTAAGTATTACAACGGGAAATTACGAGCATCAATTAACAGATGCTTTAAAGTTCTATTATAGTTGGATTGGACACATGTTTCAACTATTGTATTTTAATTTGCTAATCATATATGTAGTCTCCAAGTCTTACTTACCGTCGTCATCTGTAGAATAGCATTTCTATATTGGGTGATGATTGACTGTGAAGTCGAAATCTGGATCACGGTAGGATTTAAAGCAGCGACCTCCGGGCTATCGGCCCGCCATTCTGTTAACTAAGATAGGTGATTCATCCTTGAATCACCGTAAATTTTGCTTGGAATTCATTTTTAAGCATTTGAATGTTGGATTTGGTTGTAATATTCAATTTGTAAAAAAAGGGTTAATTGTTATATTTTCATTAACTGGATTATATAATAATTATCGTTTTAGCATCCAACAGCTTCAGTTTCACCTACATGTGTTCTTGGACCAAGTGTTGTCATTGGCGCTAATTGTGTTGTTGGTGATGGGGTACGAATTCGGAATACTACATTACTTCAAGGCAGTGTTGTTAACTCTCATTCATGGATAGAAAATTGTATTATTGGTTGGAATTGCACAGTTGGACAATGGGTAAGTTTATTATAAAAATATGCATAAAACTTTGAACCTCTAAGGAGTTACTATTGCCGTTTTTGATCGTTCCTACTGATGTTTTTTCCTTCCTTTGCATTGTAAATAGCTGTCAGAGAGTTCTCTCTCTCCAAATGATCACCGTGGAATTCTGCATATCACATGAAGGACATTGCTGCAGCTCTTTTACTTTCTTTCTTATCATCAGTTTATGTATGCGAAATCATCCGATTGTGTATAGTTTAATATAAGTACGAACCAATATCATTCTGTTGCTTAGTTCTTTGTAGAATTCCTTTTGTTTGTTGTCCTGTTAGACGTGAATGTTAAAAAGTAGAAGATATGAAACGGTTATAAGTTTTTGACTATTGGTTTCAGTGCTCACGTACTATGGAATCATCACCGTATGACCAATGTTGAGTTTAGGTGATGATTACTGGGCAAGGAAACCAATTCAGTTGAGAAGGTTGTGAATCTTCATGGAATGAGATAGCTTGGAAATGTGCTGTGCATACCCAGCCATCCGTCTACTTTGACGCATCATCCTCTGGAAAGTTGGACTAGGTTAGTGGCAGAACCAATAAGTGACACTAGTGCATAAAGTCTCTGACTGTTAGTGTAAGCCGTGTACGGGGATGTAGACTACCTGGCTGGCTGGCTGGCTGGCTAGGTCCCTGCAGACGATAGAAATCAGTGGGTGGAAGGGACTCTGAGTGATACGATTGGAAATTGAACTAACCTTATTTTCAAAATTCTTTATTTATTTAAACTACGCCTTCTTTTAAATTCTAGGTGAGAATGGAAAATGTGTCTGTATTAGGCGAGGATGTGGTTGTTTCCGATGAATTATTTGTAAACGGCGCTCGTGTATTACCGCACAAGAGTATTGCACAATCAGTTATAGAACCACAAATTATCATGTAATCCAAGGGGAACCCATCTTCAGGGATAATGATGAGATAATGCAATACTGCTGATGATTGTCTACATCACAGGTGACTTTCTTTGTTGGAAAACAACAACAACAACAACACTTTCCAATACTGTGATCAGAATATTTCTCTTCCATACTGACATTTTTACCGAGTTTCTTTTCTGATTTTACTTCAGTCATTTTGTATAGCAAAAAATATTGTTTTTTTTCTCTAGGGTGTTTATGTTTTCCACGTTTTCTCATTGGTATTGCCATGCCAATTATTTTGTTTACGTGTTATCAATACTCTTTTGTTATGAAAATATTCTTTCTTCTTTGTCTGAATGTGACCGAATCCTGTTGACAGTGAAACCGCTCACATAACGTTTGTTATTCAGAAAAAAAATGACTTCTTGTTGGAGGAGAGTTTATTTTCTGTGTCTGTGTGTGTGTGTATGTTCACTGTTGGTGCAGTCTTTCTTTGGGAATGTTTAGTTACCATTTCAGTAATATAACCGGTTGAATATTTTGTTATCTATTCTGTTATAACCTATAATTTATATATATATATATATATATATATATATATATATATATATATATATGTCTGCGTCGCACGATTGCTTCATTTCTCTCAGTTTGAGTTAAATTAATTACATTGAACCTGGTGAAATGCCTAGCATACCGTGCCACAGCTATTTGCTCAGATGATGCTATAAAGGAAGAGTACGCCACTATCTTTGATCTGCTTAGTAGGAACGGCTATCCAGATAAGTTTGTGAGGGTTAAGACAAGAACACCAACAGTTCCTAAGAAGTAAATCTTCTTGAAGCTGAAATTTAAGAGTGAAATTGTCAGTGAGATCACCACACAACGCATAAAAAGAGGCCTTTATAAAGCATTCCCAGCCGCTAAATTGTCCCATCTTCTACAACAGTGCGATTCTAGTGCAATAAATAGCGACAAACTGCCTGACTCTACAACTTCTATGTGCATTTATCAATTCAGCTGCTCCTACGCAGCTAGTTACGTTGAGCGTACAATGAGGAAGGTCAATCTTCAAATTTTTGAGCACCACCCATCATGGTTGAGCAAGGGATAAATTAGAACAATAAAGAACTCCATATTTCCACACCTAGTTGACATAGCATATCAAGTGGATACTAGGAAAGCTTTCAAAACTATTCATCATATTCCAAGTTATTTACCACATGGATTAAACATTCGCTTACTTCACATAGCAGAGGTGATTGCAATCCACCTTCACAAACGTAACCTTTGTTCGACCAATTTCATTACTGTGGCCGCCAACACGATGTAACTTCTAGGATTGCTTTTTACACCTCTTCCCCTTCTTGTTCCTGTCAATATTCATCTGTTCTCTTGTTGCTGTGTAATCACTTATTGTTTATGACTGAACATTCATCAAAAATCACTCCATTTATCTAAGAATAACCTGGTTCATATTTCCAATTTTAATTACTCTATTGACTATTTACGTCACTATTTCAAAAACACCACCTTGTGATTGGTAATTTGATATAGTTGTAAAATTATGGATATTAGTATAGAGCGGAAGATGAAGACTTGATTGAAAAGTAATATATTTGTTCGCTCGCTCGCTCAATCACTCTTTTTTTCAAATTAATTAACCTTGTGGCTCATTAGTTTAGGGTGACTGACGCGTTCGACCCACGCTCCATCTATCGAGGTTTGCACTCCCTAGGTGGTGGTATCATTCTCTCTCACATACAGTAGGTGTGGTGCACTGCATATTGCACGATTGTAGATTTCAAGCTTCTTCTAGTGTTTACGTTTAATCCCTTCATACTGATAAATTTTGTGTTACTAGAAGGTATATAATTCATCTGAACAACAATTTGTTTCCATGCACTGTTAGTATACTTGTCGAGTCAGTATTTTTATCCAGTTTATGCTTGTTTCGGGTGCAAACATGCGATATTTACCAGCAATAATCTAAATCTTTATTTAAAAAAGACATAAATCGTCACGCCACATATAATGTAGTTTTCTCGGGTATGCGATCGGTTGGTTAATGTTGGTCACAAATATCAGATAAAAACCACTTCATTACACATCAGAGGTTAAAAGTAATAGGGGCTTTGCAGGGATGCGTGTTACAATTCCGTAACGTTTGATCAACCCTACTTAATTTGATGTGCTCTAGTACCTGCTTAACCAGTACTTTACCTAACGTGTAAGTACTGATAACAAAACACAAATCAAAAGAACTGATACGCAATGTATTTAAAGGAGCTATGTATTTAAGGTAAATGTTATAATAATGAATGAGGGAAAAGTTTAATCAACTTATCTGGCTTGTAAGGCTGAACTAAGGACTCGGAGTACGTGCGCGGTGATCAGCACAATGGAGCGCAAAAATGGCGTCCAAGCCTGCTCGGATGCATGCTCGTTAAAACAAAACTTAAAACACCCTAAGCATCCGGAGGCAAGCTAGAGATTTATTTAGTTAATTTAATTTAAACTATTTATTTTAGCCCTAGTTATATTTCGGTGCCAGGAAGGTGCACTACAGGTTATCCCCCTCCTAGAAGGTTGTTGGGATACCGGCAACCTTCGATCCTAGGAGGCGACTGCGAGGCGGACACGTAACACCTTTCCATATTGGTGATGGAGTAGGTGACGTGTGGGTCTCCGAAGCTAGTGCAACTATGCACACCTACGAGGTAAGATAACTTTGCGTCTAGACGCAACCCTTCTCGCAGTGGTGGAAGGTGACCCAAAGCCTCCGTCTACTTTTCCCTATTGCTTCTTAATCTACCGGGGAGTGTACAGGGGGAAATTGGTACAAAGAGAACCGAAGAACGATCCAAGTAGCATCGTCAGCGGCCAACTGTATCCAATTTTCAACGCATTTTCTAGGTTCTGCAAGAAGAAAGAAATGGGACATTAGAGTGCTAAGAAAAGGAAAACCAAACAATTTGAAGTGGTCACAAATATCAGATAAAAACCACTTCATTATACATCAGAGGTTAAAAGTAATAGGGGCTTCATCACTCAACGTGAACAGTGATGATTAGTACCAAATACTGGTTACGTAATGTCAGTCGTATAATCCCACTAAGAGTACATAATATATCAAATGTTGAACAAAAACGAAGGTGAAGACATGCGAATACTCACTAAAGTTATGCTAGCTGCAAATACTATGTGAAAACTGGATTTAAATACTTCGGTAATTGGAAGGAAAAAATTTGGGATCAGAATTATATATAATGTTGTCATACACTGATCAGGAATTGTTGAAAATACAATTGATCTACCTAATCTTAACCGAAAGTTACAAATAAATCCAGTAACTGTTATCTCGTCAAAAATCGATTGGCATGTTTTGGATGCAGGCAGCATTTAATACCCAAAATTTGAGAAGGGAATTCAAAAGGTCATACATTTCAGGTGAAATGTCAGAATAATGGTTATTAATATAGGTGTAAAACTTGAGCACTGTGGTAGGATTTAATTTCATATTAGATCTGTTTATTTGATTTATAACACACAGTGATCCAGTATCATATACTTGATGACATTTCGAGCATAAATTATGATTGCTCATAATCATCATATCAATGTTAGTCAGACAACTTTCGCGAGTCGATTCTTATAGTCTCGTCACTTCATATGATTTGTTTCCATTGGTAGTAAAAAGTTGCATATATATGGTAAAGATGTTGCATCATTTCTATTATATATGCTGGCTGGGTGTTGAATCTATGAACAAAAATTCAGTAATCACTCTCTCCACCTAATTATATTGGACTTAAGTACAGTGGATTTATCCCACCTATCCTATTGTGTACTTATGTGTTAATGCATGCAAGCATTGCAATAGCCGAGTGCTTTTCTAGACTGTTCGAGCCTGTTATTCTATATTTAGCTAAATTCCTAATTGACCCCGACCTGCTAGTTTGATTAGATTATTTTACTTAACTGGTTCTATCGGATTCTTAGGCCAGCCGACAAAGCTTATGTCTGAGTGAGTTTGTAGGTTTAAATGCCAGCTTTGTTGAGGATCCTACGTAAAGTTTCTGATGTTCATTCTTTGTAGGGTAACACAATGGAGGCTGTGAACTGTTTCAGTTCCTTTATAGACTGATGCCAAGTCTTTATCTTGCCACCCTGAACCCCCCTCCAACCTATTGCTACTTCCCCTAGTATAGCACGTCGAAGTAGGCGGTGACTAGGTCACCATGCACAGTATAGGTCCAAGCCATCCATCTCAGTCGACTAAGGTTCATAACGTCATCGATCGACTTGCCTAATATCCTTCTCCTGATTTCAACACTGCTCATACAGTGATGATTTCACTGTTCCCCTATATTTTGGAAAACTTTTTAATCAGAAAGGTTACACTTTTGTGGGATGAATTTAAAAGCACCGGTGATAACCACTTATGAGCTATTGTCTTTTGTGTCATATTGTCTCAGTGTTTAAATCTCTTGACATCTTCTGTTTTCCACTACTTTTTCTGAATCCTTTGTTTTTGGTGATGATCATGTTTAATAAAGTGACTACTACCGTTGGTTCTGAAGCACAGATTTATTGATCTTATAGAAATACTTATCAGTCTGACCATCTGACATTCCCGTGGTTTGGCGAACTTATATTCAATCACTATTCCTTACCAATAATACCGGACTATCGAACCATGGGTATCTCAGATAGACTCCCTAACCAATCTCGTAATATCCTTCTGCTGAAGTTTGTTGCGGGGATTATTCACAAACTTACTTAGGTTGTGTGCAACTGATGTAGATCCTATGAAACATACCAGCACCATCTAACACCATAAACATACTGTTCTTATTGCGTTATTCAAATTTGTAGATAGTAGCATGGGAGCCCATACGCCAGTGCTGACCAATCAGATTGTCTCAAAACAATCAACAGTCGGAAATAGTATGTCATCATTTCCATTCACAAAATGGTTGTGTTTAATAAGTGAGAAAAACTCAAGTCACAGAATAGAGGATACCAATATTTCCCTAACCGGGTAACGATTAATATACTTATTACTTCAGAGAATATATACACTATTGAAAGCATCAGATTATAAAAACAAATTCAATAGAAGATTCCATTGGATTCCAATGTGTCTACAAGACACATTTCATTCTCACGTAAACTAGCATAGTTGTATTCATTTCTTATACCTTTGGTATATGGATATTGTCAACATTTCTAATCTGTGCTTGTTAATTGTTGAAGTCAGTTAGTCGTAGTAAGTTCATATTTATCGATTTCTTACGTTTACATACGGGGGTTTTAAACTTTATTCAACTCGCATTCCATTCGGTATAAAGCAGTGATTTTTATTCAGAAATTTATTCATATCTGTTTACCGGCTAACAATATAGACAACTTATTTTTATTATTAATAATTGTGCAAAAATCTTTATATTCCTTGTAGTCAGTTATGTTACTGTTTTGGTGAATAAATGTAACCTAGACTTAGAGAGTTTTTGTTGATGAACCTATATGAATATTTTCAGGT